GGAGACGACACATCCTGACCTCCACAATGACATGATGATGGGGCACTTTGCAGTTCAGATGCAAGTATGGTTTTTCACAAATTCCCTGTGATCAACTAACAGAGGAGAAGTTCCGACGGGTCAGCTCTTATTGTTGATGGTAGGGCTTCCGAAGCCGCTTCCTGCAACTTACAGTGCTCTGGCTCTGTTTTACATGATTTTCTCACACTTGCTGGTGTATACAAATGTACCAGAGTAGATTTTGTCACTGACTGCTACCAAGACCTCAGTATCAAGGCAGTTGAATGAACAACGTGGTTCTTCAAGGGATCCCAGAGAGGAAGAGTTCTCTCTGCTGAGCAGAAGGTTCCAGTACCCGAACTACTTGAGTAACAGTGCAAATAAAGATCTTAGAAAGTTCCTTTTTAACCTGTGGTCAAACATCAGTGGGATAAAGCACTTGTGAATTGTATGGGCAGAGTTCTGATGACATCAATGAGGCTAGACACCCACAGTTTTTTCTGTCTCCAGGCATCAAGTGAGGAAGTCCTACCTCCCTTTATAACAAAGACACCCTCCTTCAACATATACTCTGAGATAACTTTCAAGCTGTAGTACACGATCAAGTTCTCCAGGCACCTATGGATGCCCCAAGTCCAGTGGGAAACGGATAGATTGAATCTCAGTGCCAGTTTAGAATTCAATGGAGCACAATTTGGCCAGCACCAGATGACAGTTTGACTGTTGTCCACTATCTTTGTAAGCAGAGCCATTGTGAGATGGCAACTTGAAGCTGCAGTTCAGCCAATCGGTCATGCACTGATTTGTGTGCCTGCACAAACTGGCTCAGCCTTTTTACAAGAATCTGATAAACTATTTTTGTTATATGGGATTCAACATGTATCACAATTTCAGAAGAACTTGCCTTTATGAAGTAACTGTATTATTACCAATGACTCTAATAAGCAGATGAATAGCGTAGTATTGAAAGCGAATGGTATCTTTCTCCGGAAACAGGTTGTTGTATTGTGTAGTGTTCTTAATTGTAGAGAACTAGCCAGAAAATGTAACATTTTGCTAATTAATGCTGGGTGCAGTGGTGGCGGGTCTAAATAGGAATATAAAATGCAAGTTTATAACAAAAGTGAGGGCAAGGCCTCCCAACCATTTTCTAAATAGGATTACTGTCAAAATGTAAAAGATGATTCCAATGTAGAAGTGTTAGCTTTAAACGTCAAAACCTGTTACAAAATTTTGAATGCTAGGCAATGAGTGCCTCCAATAGCGCAAGATTGTTGGGAAAATATTTTCATTCAGTGGAACAAGGTATGGGTACACAATGGCTGTAAGTTGATAGGTTGTAAGGATAGTGAAATCTGGCACAAAATAAAGCATAGAATTCTTCCTACAAAAGATTAACTGAAGCATTATAATGAAGTACAAGATGATAAATGCCTGCTTTGTAATTCAGAAATTGAAACCTTAGAACAATTATTTGTTTATTGAACAAAACGTATTGAAGCTTGATTATTTGTCAAAAATATTATCTTAAAGTATATTTAAAGATCGGATTTCCCCTTGACAGATAAACAACGGGATTTTAGGAGTTGATATAAAAGAGGATGTATGATCATTTTTAACAGCACACCTTCACCAAGTTATCTGGGAAAATAGATGCAAACTTACTATGAATGGGTCAAAATAATCGTATTAACATTACATTGATGTATAAGCAGAATTTGAAAAACACCTTCATTCAGAATATGAGCGAATGGGAACAGATCTGTTCAAACTAATTTATGGAAAAACGCAGCTTTAATATACATGTACTTCCAAGGAGATTGCTTTAAATATTGTTTTTGAGAAAAAAGTCTTAAAAGACAAATGATGTAATAGAATTTAAAAGTTGTATTGTTGTAAAAATAGTTTCCCTTTTTTCTTGTGTTTTCAATTGTACATGTACATTATTTTTGTGTTTAATGTGTGTACATAGTGTATGTTTATTTTTGCTTCTGTATATACTTATATTTGGTCAACTAATTATTTAGCTGGTAAGGTTTCAATTGAGGGTGTTTATCATTGTTACCAGTAAATGAATTTTGTATTAGTTTGTATGGTACTATACTTTATTGTATTGAATGTATATATGAAATAACTGTCTTGAAATAAAAGGAGCCGTACAGCTCCTCTTTCACCCCCCCAAAAAAATAATTAAATTAAAAAGAATGATCAAAATTAATGGTTTTATAATTTAATAAAAGAAGCGCCATGAGCAGGAGTGTGTTTTGCGTCCTTCTCGTGTACGTTTATTTATAATGTCCCAAGTGGTTAGGTACCAGTCTTCTATGATGTGTGGCCCAGCGTGTATTGTATCCCCACACATCGTGTTTTACTTCCATTGTTCCAAGCTTCCTTCGACTCCACTTTCCTTCAAGAAATGTTCAACATTTCAAACAATGGGTAAAACTAACAGTGAAGGTAAGCCTAAAAGTGAAAGATGGACCTAAAAGGAAGTTTCAAAACTGGTTGCATTTCGGGGAGACAACGAGATTCCCAAAAACCTTGACAGAACAACAAGAAATGGAAAAGTGTTCTCAAAATTGTCAGACTGCTGACGTGGTGCCGATTATAAATGGACCCCTGCCCAATGCAAAGAGAAATTGAAAGCCATGAAAAAAAGAGTACAAGAAGGTAAAAGATCACAATAGAAACCAAATTGGGGGCAAAATAAAGGACAGCCCCTTTTACGAGGAGCTAGATGCTGTTTTAGGTTGTGAACAGTTGCAGAGGTTTAGGTGGGGTAAAAATATTTCCCCTAGATTGGCTCTGCAGTGTGAAAAGGCCTTAACAGGGTAAGAATTGTCCTTCTACTATGCAATGAGGACCTGCTGTACAGAAGAGACAATAGTGTGCCTGTTCCACAGAGTTTGTGGCACAATGATGGTCATCATGCTCTCATAAGATGGCGCATGGTGGCCTATGGCAGAATCGATGGCTACAGCTGCCTAATTGGGTTTTCACAGTGCGCTGATAATCATCAGGTAGACACTGTCACCAACTCTGGTCCTAGATGTTGTAGCATCATTCGATCATGGGAGACAGAGGACGTGAAAGTGTAATGGTGGCAGGCATCATGAAAGAGAGGACGAGATCGTGGCAGCTTCATTGCTGGAAGATTGGATCACAACAGCAGTACAGAACAGTTCTTCAGCAGGAAAACCATCTACACGTACGTCTCATGGCTGTTGAGAAAAGTACTAATACTATAGAAGGATGGTGGCTGATTCCAAAGCTTCACTAGACAATGATGTAAAACTTGGATCCAATGCACCATGCAGTAGAGAGCGCGAGAAATGTCATGCTTTCAATTTTGCACAGCAAGTGCAAAACCCAAGTGACCCACTCCAGCCTGGACTAATGTACATGTATTTCCTTTGTCTGAGGAAATGTGGAATTTTCGGTGTGGCATGTGAGGCAGGGGGTAGAAGTCAGCCAAAGCTCCAAAGCTATAAGCCTTTTAGAAGTATTGAGGACACAATAGGGGGGCGCTATTTGGTTTGGGTAAAATCTTTTGTGTTTG